CCCTTTCGCCTCCCCCCTCCCTCCCCCTCCCCCCTTTCTTCCCTCCCCCCTTCTTTTGCGCCCCCGTCTCCTTTTCCCTCGCGCGCTTCCGTTCCGTGCTCCTTCGCTCCTTTCGCTCCTTCCCCCCTCGTGCCTTCCGGTCGCCCCTCTCGTTTCGCCTCCCGGCTTCGTGCGCCTCTCCGCCCCTTGGTTTTCCGTCGGGCTCTCTTCGCTCTTCCGCTTTTTCTTTTCCCCGTGCTCCCTTCTCCGTGCTGTCGCCTGTCGCTCTGTTTGGTTCTTGCGTGCCCCCGGCTTGTGCGTGCTCGCGCTTGCCCTCGTCTTCTCCCCCTCCCTCCTCCCGTCCTCCCCCTTCCCTCCGTCCTCCTTCCCTTGTTGCTTCCTCCCCCTTTGCGCCCCCCCCCTTCCTGCCGCCCTCTCTTCGGCCTCGGCGGTCCTCGTTGCGCTGGCCTTTTGCTTTTTGCTGCCCCCGCCCCCGCCTTCCCCCCCCGCCCTGGCCTGTCCCGGCCGTGCTTTTTCTGTCTCTTTTGCCCCCTGCCCCCTCCGCCTCTGCCCCCCCCGTTCGCGTCCCCTCTGTCCCTTTTGGCTCCCCCCTCCCCCCTTGCTTGTGCCTTTCCGCTCTCGTCTGCTCTTCTTTGTTGCGGTGCGGTGGCTTTCTTTTGGCTTTGCTTGGCCTCTTGCCCCCTCCCCCCGCCTCCGCCCTGTCCGCGCCTGCTTGCCGTCCGCTCTCGCCGCGCCCCCCTCCTTCCTCTCTCTTTTGTTTGCTCGCCCTCCTTTCCCTCTTCCTCTTTGTCTCGCCTTCTTGCTGTGCTCCTTGGCCTTTTGCTCGCTGCTTTTCCCTCCCGGCCCCCCTTCTTTCTCCCGTCGCGGGTGTCCTTTGCTTGCTTGCTGCCTCCTCCTTCTTTCCGTTGTTTGCCTTGTCCGCCCCCGCCGTCCTTCCCTTCCCCCCTCCTGCTCCTTTCGCCTTTCTTCTGCCTCCGCTTCGCCCCTTTCTCCCCCCCCGCCTTGTTCGTGCTTCCCCCTCCTCTCCTCCCCCTCTCTTTGCCCTCCTCCCCTCTGCTCCCCCTCTTGCCTTCTCCCTCGCGTTTTGTCCCCCCGGCCTTTGGTGCCTCCCCCGCTTCTCCCGCCCCTTGCCCCGTCTCCTCCCCCGCTCGCGGTGCTTGTTTCCCCCCCTCCCCTGCCTTTTTCCGTTTGTCGCCTTTCTCCCCCTTCGCCTTTTCCCCTCCCCCCCTGGGGGTTGTTCGCCCTCCCCTTCTTCTTCGCGTCGCCCCTTCCCGCCTGCGCTTTTCCCGTCCCTTTGCTCCCCGGTGCCCTCTTTGTGTGCGGCGTCGGCTCGGCCCCTTCTGCTTGCTTCCCGTCGGGCCCCGGTGCCCCGTTTCCTCCCCCTCTCTTCCTTCTTCTTGCGCGTCTCCTTTTGCCCCGCGCCTTGCTTTCTTCCTCCCCCTCCCGCCTTCTTCGTTTGCTTTGTTCCGGCCGCCCCCTTTGGTTCCTCCCCCCTTGTGGTTCGCGGTCTTGGCCCCCGTTCCCCCCCCTCCTTTCTTTTGCCTTGCTCGCTCTCTTGCCTCGCCTTTCTCCCCTCCGGCTCCTTGCGGCTTCGTCCCTTCTTTTGGTTCCCTTTGCGCTCGCTCCCCCGTGCCCCCTGCTTCCCTGGTCGCTGCTCTTGTTTTCCCGCCTTCCTGCTCTTCCCCCTCCTTCCTTCTGGCGGGTGCTTTTTGCGCCCTCTTCCCTCTGGTTCCCCTGGGTGCCTGGTCCTGGGTGGCTCCCTTTGTTGTGTCCTGGCGTTGGTTCGCCTTTCCCCCTTTCCTTCTTTTGCCCTTGCTTCCCCCCTTCCCCGTCCCTTGCTCCCCCTTGGCCCCTCCTTCCCTCCTCCCCCCGTCCTCCCCCCTTCTTCTTCCCCGCCTTTCCCCCCTTCTTCTGGCTGCGGGCTGGGCTTTTCTCGCGCCTTCCTTTCCCCCTCCTCCCTTCCCTGCCCCCCCTCCTCTTCCCCCGTCTCCTTCGTCTCCCCCCCCTCCCTCTGCCCCTTGTTCCCCTTTTGTGCCCTTTCTTCGTCCCGCCGCCCTTTTTGCTCTGTGCTTTTTCCTCCCCCCCCCGTGTCTGGCTTCTTCCCCCCCCCTTGCTCTTTTCTTCCCCCTCTGCCCGCCTTGCTGGTCGTGCCTCTCCTCGCCCCTTCCTTCCTCTGCCCGCTCCTCCCCCGCTTTTCGCTGCCTTTCTCCTTCCTCTGCCTCCCCTTTGCCTCCCCCCCTCTGCCCCTCCCCCCTCTTTGGTTTTCTCCCTTTCTCTCGCTCCTCTGGCGTCTTCTTGTCCTGCTTCTGGCTCCTGCTTCGCTTTTGCGTGTCCCCGCCGTGTTGCTCGCTTCCGCCCCCTCCGTTTCGGGCGCCCGGCCGCCCTCCTCCTCCCTCGTGCGGCTTCTTTGCGCGTCCGGTTTCTTCTTTCGGCCCCCTTTTGTTGCGGTGTTCTTGCGGCCGCTCCTTGCTGCGCCCTTCCCTGTGCCTTGCCCCCCGCTTGTCTCCCTCCCTTCCCGCCCTCGGTTCCGCGCTCCGTTCGTCTTTTTGCTCTTTGCCCTTCTTTCTCCTTTTGTCGTTGCTTCCCCCGCTTCGGTCGCCCTTGCTCCCCTTCCTTTTTCTTCTTGCGCCCCCCGGTCCCCGTGTCCCTGGCCCCCTCCTCCCCCCCCCGCGCGTCTCTTTCTTCCCCCTTCCCCTTCTTGGCTCCCCCGGTCCCCCTCCGTCCCTCTGTCGTCCGCTTCGCGGTCTTGCCGTTGCCTCGTGTGTCTTTGCTTTGCCTGCTGCTTTGCTTTGCTTTCCGCGTTGGCCTGCCTCCCCCCCTTGGTCCTTCTTGCCGCTCCTCTCTGGCCCGCCTTCTCCTCGCTTCTTCTTTGCCCGCTGCTTGCTCGTCTTGCCGTTTCCGTGGTTGCGCTTTCTGTGCCCTTCCCCCTTCGCTTCCTTCGCCTTTCTGGCCCTTCCGCCCCCTGCCTCTTTGCTTGTCCTCCCCTCCCCCCTCCCTGTTCTTTCGGCTTTTTCCCGCTCGCCCCCTCTCCTTTGTGCGCTCCTTTTTGCTTCGGCCCTTCTCTTTCGCCCCTTCTCCCCGCTCGCCTTTCTCCCCCCTTGCCTCGTGCTCCCCCTTCCCTTTTCCTCCCTTCCCGCCCGCCCCCTCTCCCTCTTTCCCCCTTTTTCTTGCTCGTGCCCCCTCCTTTTGTCCTTCCCTCCTTTTGCTTTCCTCCGCCTCTCCCTTTTGGTCCCTCGCTTTCTTTGCCCTTCCCTCGCTCTGCTTTCTTTCTCGTCCTGTGGCGTGCGCCCCCCCTCTCGCTGTCCCCCCCTCCTGCCCCCCGCTTCCTTCCCTTTCGGTCCCCTCCTTGCTTGGGTCCTTTCCTGTTCGTGCTTTTTGGTCCCCCCCCCCCCTTGCTCTTCTTGCCTTCCGCTGCGGCGCTTTGTCCCCCTTTGCGCCCCCGCTCCTCCTCCCTCCCTTTCGCCCCCCTTTTTGGCGCCGGGTTTTGCCCCCCTTTTTCTCTTTTGGCCCCTGGGCCGCGCTGGTTGCTTTGGTCTCTCCCCCGCCTTCCCTCTCTTGCCCCCCCCCTCTTTTTGCGTGGGCTCCCCTCCCCCCTTTCTTTCTCGCCCCGCTTCCCTCTTTTCTCTGCCTCTTTTTGCCCTTGCCTCTTTGGCCTCTCTTTGCTTGCGCCTTTTTGTTGCTTTGCCGTCCCCCCTTGTTTCGGCCTTTCCCCTTCCTTTGCTTTGTTTGCTCGCCCCGTCCTTGTCTCCTCGTGCTCTTCTGCCTTTTCCCCCTTTTCCCCCTTGCCCTTTCTTCTTTCCCGTCGTCGTCGCCTTCGTCCGCTTTTGCGGGGTTTGCGCCCTGTGGCGTCCTCCCCGCTTCCGGTTCTCTCTCCTGCTGGCTTTTGCCTGCTCCCCCTTTTCTCTCTCTTTTCGCCGCCTTCGTGCCCGTCGCCCTCGTTGCTCTCCGCTTCTGTTCTCTCCCCTCTCTTGCTTTCCCCTCTTCTTGCCGCTGCCTCTTTTCCTTCTTCCCTTTCCTCCCTTCCCGTCCCGCCTCTTGCCCTTTTTTCTTCCTTTCTTCTTTTTCCCGCTTCGCCTCTTCTTGCGCTCCTTGCGTTGCGGCTGCGTGCGCCTCCTCTCTTGCCCTTCTCGCCTTCGCTTGTCCCTCGCTTCCCGCCCCGCCTTCCCCGCCTTGCCCGCCTTCGCTGTTCCCTCTTCTCCTCTGCTTCCCGCGCCCTCCGCCCTCTTCCCTTGTCCTCCCCTCCCTTGCCCGCCGCCGTCTCCTCCCCGCCTGCCTTCCTCGCTTGCTGCTGCCTCCTCCGCCCTCCTCCTTTTCGTTTGGTTCGTTGCTCCCGCGCGCTTTTCTTTTGTCGCGCTTGCCCCTTTTGCTTTCGGCTTTGTTCGGCGTCGCTTCCCCCTTTTTGCCTTGCTCCTTGCTCCCGCTCGGCTCCGGCCCTTTCTTTTCCCCTGTCCGGGTTTGCGGCCCTTGTCGCCCCCTCCTTCTTTTCTTCGCCTTTTTCTTCTTGTGTTCTGCGCGCGCTGCCTTTTCCCGCGCCGCCTTTTTGTTGTCTCCTTTTCGCCTCCCCTTCTCCCTTTTTGCCCCCCGCGCCCCTGTTCGTCCGTCCTCCCCTCCCCCTTCTTTTCTCCTGCCCTGGCGGTTGCCGGTTGTTCGGCCTTCGCGCCGCCTTTCGCGCTTCCTGCCCCTCCTCCTCTTTGGCCTTCCTTTCGCCTCCTCTGCTTTTCGCTCCCTCCCTCCTTTGTCTGTTGCCCCCTTCTTCGCTCTCGGTGCTCGCGCCTCGCCGTCCCTTCCTCTCCCCTGCCGCTGGTCCGCCTCGTCGGCTTTTGCGCTTCCTTTCTTTTTGGCTCCTCTTTTTGCCCCGCTCCCTCCTCTCTCCCCGCCCTTTGCTCCTTCGCGCTTCCCTGTCTGCCCACCTTTCCTTTGCGCGCCTTTTGCCCTCTTCCCCCTTCTTCCTGGCGCTTGTGCGCTTCTTGTCTTTTCTTGTCCTCCTCCTCCTTCGCCCCCTTGCTGCGCGTTTCCCCTCTTTCTTGGCCGTGCCCCCTTTCGGCTCTTCGGCCCTCTTGTCTCCTCCCCGGCTTTGCCTCGCCTCTCCTTGGCCCTCTTGTCCCGCTTCTTCCGCGTTCTCTCGTCGCTGTCCCTTCCGGTTTTGGCTTTTGTCCGTCCTGTGGCGGCCTCCGGGGCTCTCCCCCCCGCCGTCTTGCTTTTCCTCTTTCTCTCGGGCCCGTGGCCCTTCCCCCCTTTCCTCGTGTCCCGCCGCTCCGTGTCCCTGCCTCCGCCCTTTCCCCTCCTCCCCTTTCTCCCGTGCGCCTCCTCGCTTTTGCGCTCCCTCTTTCTTCCTCCTCCTCCCGCGCGCTCTGCCCGCTTCCTCCCCTTCCCCCCCTTTGTCGCCTGGCTCCGCCTCGCCGTCCCCCCCCGTTCCCCCCGTTGGGCCCCGTGTTTTCCTCCCCCCGGTTGGTCTCCCCTGCCTCCCCTCGGCTCCCGGCTCTGCTCCCTTGTTGGTCCCCCGCGGTCCGGTGCCCGTCTCGCGGGGGGGGGGGGGGGGTGCCTCGCCTTTCCCCCTTTTTCGCCCCGCCCCCCCCTTGCTCCGCCCGCGCTCCCCCTCTTCCCTCGCTTGTTCGCGTCTGGTGCCCCGCGGCCCTCCCTCCCCCTCCCGTGTGTGTGCGCTTGTGTGCGCCGTCTCTCTCGTGTCGCGCGCCTCTTCCCGCGCCGTCCGTCCCGCCCGCCGTCCCGCCCCCCCGCCCCTTCTCGTGGTTCGCGCGGTGGTGTCCTCCTCCTCCTCCCCTTGCTCTTCTCTCCCCGCGCCCTTCCCTCTCTCTCCCCCTCCTTGGTTCCCCGCTCCCCTGCCTTTCCGTGCTCTCGTGCTTTGCTCCCCCGCCCGCCCTCCTCCCGCCCCGTGCCCCCCCCTGCTGCTTCGGGTTTCCCGTCGCCGCGCGCTCCTCTCCCGGCTTTCCCGCCTCCGCGTTCCTTTCCCCCGTCTTCCCCCTCCGGTCGCCCCGTCTCCCGTGCTCTCGTGCTTTGCTCCCCCCGCCCTCCTCCCGCCCCCGTGCCTCCGCCCTGCTGCTTCGGCTCTCCCCGCTCCGTGTGCCCCTCCCGGCTTTCCCCGCTCCGTGCTCCTTTCCTCCTTCTCTTGTTTTGCTCCCCCCCGTGTTGTCTTGCTTCCCCCCTTCTGCGCCTCTGTCGTTGCTCTTCCCTGCTGCGCCGGTCTCTTTGCTGCCGCTCCCCCCTCTGGCCTGCTTTCTCTTGCTCGCTCTGCGTGTTTTCTCTCTTTGCCTCTCTCCCGTCCCGCCCTTGCTTTTTTGCTCTGCTTTGCTCTGTTTCCGCCCTCTCCGCCTCTTTTTCTCTTGCCGCTCTCTGCGTTCTTTTTTCTTTCTCCCTTCTCCCTTGCCGCTTTTTGGTCTGCTCTGTCCCCCCTGCGCTTTTTGCTCTCCTCTTTTCCGCTTCCTTGCTCTCTTCGCTCTCCTTGCTGCGTTCGCTTTTCTGCTCTCTTTCGTCGTTTCGCTCTTCCCGTCTTCCTCTCTTCCTCCTTTTCTCGCTGGTCCTGCGCCTCTGTCCGTTGGCCCGCGCCGCTCTCCTTTTTGCCCTCTTGTCTCTTTTTGTCCGCGCTTCTCTCTTCTCTTCTGCCCGCTGTCCGCCCGGCTCCGCTCGCCGTTTGCGCGCTTGCCCTTCCTGGCCCTGGTTTCCCCCCCCTTCCTCTGCTCTTCCTCTGGTTTTCCGTTGCGTGGCCCTCTC